GTCTGTCACATTCAAGGAAGCCCTCTTCCCACTCTAAAATGGACTCACGATGTTACTGAGGGTAATATTGATGTAGTTCCCGGAGGGTTAACATCTATCATAACGAATAGGATAAATGCATATGAAACATCCAGTAAGCTTACCATATCCAATGCCCAGCTAACGCATGATAGTACTTACCATTGTGAGACAGAGAATTCCTACGGATCAGCTGATCGGACTGCCCGTATAACTGTACAGGATCAGGAGATAGAGTCTGTTTCTATTGCACAACCTGTGCACGGTACTGTCTACCCACTAATAGCTCATGATCTTAATTCCATTACACTACCCTGCTCTGCTACAGGTCTACCTAAGCCTACTCTACAATGGGAGATACCGGCAAGTGTGCAGACTGCTAATGTACGTGTAAATCAAGCTACACTAATACCAACACTATACATATCAGCTCCAACATTGGCAGATGCAGGTATTTACACTTGTATAGCAAATAATACATTCACTTATGACGTAGCTAGTATCGAGGTTGTAGTTATAGAAACACCGGTTGTATCAACTTCTAGTGATAGTGTAGTTACCGCCGACAGTTCTGTGACACTTTTCTGCTCGGCTACAGGTACACCTACACCTACTGTTACACTAATACACCCTGATGACACTATACTAAATTTGGATGTTAACGGTTACGTGACCATATCAGTCATTTCCTATTTAGATGAAGGTACATATACTTGTCTTGCTGTCACACAGACTGTGTCTAGCGATGCTACTTTCTTCCTGACTGTGTATAGCGAACCTGTCATTGCAATTCCACCAACTGACAAAGGTGTGGGTATAGGACAAGATGTCTCATTTTCATGCATCGTAGCTGGAACCCCAACTCCCTCAATCACTTGGATTCATAATACACACACTATAATACAAGCTCCTATCCCCTCAACACTAAGGCTCAGTAACGTACATTCTAGTGATCAAGGCATTTATACTTGTATGGCAACTAACTTAATTAATTCGATTAATGCTACCGCAATTCTAACCATTTATCCTATACCGCAGTTTGCTATAACTCCAACCACAACATTAGCTGGTGTAGGTGATTCTGTCACTTTCAAATGCAGCGCTAACGACGCAACGACTACGGTTGAATGGTATGTAGACAATATCCTAATTACATCAGGGATTAAATATTTCGTCATATCAGATAGTCTCGTTATATATAACCTTGTACTGAGTGATTCTAACTCATACACCTGTCGTATATCTAACCCAGCTGGTGAGCTAGAAGCTAGTGCTATTCTAAACATAATACTACGTCCATACTTCCTACAAACCCCCCTAGACCAAACTGTAGAAGCTGGCATCCAGGTCACTTTCACTTGTAGCGTGTCGGGTTCACCTGACCCAATTTTATCATGGTTAGACGGATCAGATAGCATTGTAGAAACTAACGGGAAGTTTACTGTATCTATGGATTCTAATACTATAACATTGACTATAACTGATGTGACATTAACAGAAGCAGGTACTTATACATGTCTTGCTGATAACGGACTAGAAGCTAGCAGAACTGCTCTCTTATCTATTATCAATGCCCCGCAGGTTACTATTATCCCTGCTATACAGAAAGCTATTCTTGGCCAACAGTTTATACTCACATGTGAAGTAACGTATTCAGTGCCTTACCCTTCATTTCAATGGTACAATAATTCCTTGATAATCACTACAGATGATCGCGTTAAGAGGTTCGCAAACGGATCATTAGTATTCAGTAATGTAATGCTTTCTGATGAAGGAGAATATCTGTGTATAGCTATTAATACAGAAGGTACTGGTGATGCTAAGGCCAATGTTGAAATTATTGTAACACCAACATTCTCATCTACTCAAACACAGCATCATGTCGCGTTAGGCAGTGATATAACTTTACCTTGTTCTTCAGCGGGTGTGCCTTCCCCTGTGACGTCATGGCTGTTACCAGATAATACTGCAGCACCTAATGATGGACATTTCTCATGGTCTCTAGCCGTAAATGGTTCTTTGACTATAAGGGACGTGCTAGGATCTGATCATGGGTCATATACGTGTGTTGCTATGAATGAAGCAGGTGTAGCAAACCTACAAATCTTCTTAACAGTACAGGTTGCCCCAGATGAACCATACAATTTAACTGTAGTGATTGAGGACGCTAGCAATGTTACTATAACCTGGATTATACCATTCAATGGATACTCTGCTATCACAGGCTATATGGTAAGGCAGAATATAGTAGGTGGTGATGTAATGGAAGCTGAAATTGAGTGGGAAGATTTGAGCTTGGATGAAGGGGAATTTGATTCTGCAATTGTGATGGGATTAATTCCATTTGAGTTCTATCGTTTCCGTGTAGCAGCTGTTAATGAAATTGGAATAGGCTCGTATTCAGATCTGACAGCTAAAGTACAGCTGTTCTCTAGCTTTCCACCTGCCCCTGAGAATGTCACTACACAATCACTCAATTCCACTGCAATACTAATAATATGGGATCCTCCCACATATCCACATGGTGTCATACTAGAGCATGTTATAGAATGGGGTATTGCTGGTGAAATTTCCTTTAATAATACCATTCCTATTTCTCAAGGCACTCGGTACATATTGACTTCTCTGTCTATTTATACAGAGTATTGTTTCATTATTCGTGCAGTTAATGACAACCCATTTGGTGGTGTTTTTAACGGTTTCTTCTCAGAACCTGTTTACCAGTACACGGGGGAGGGACCACCGGTTGGTCCCCCGTTAAACGTGACCCTAACAACCGTCCCTGGCGGTATTATTGTCATTTGGAATGCTCCCAGGATTGAATTTAGACAAGGAATTATAATCGCTTACAACTTGTTCTACAGACCATCTTTGTTGAATATTCCTTTCCCTACTCTTCCACCTTTTGAGATAAATCAGACTAATCATTCGCTAGAAATTCTTAATGCTTATAGGAAGGAATTAATGGAGTATTATCAGTTCGGTAATATTTCTTATACGTTATTTAGTATTGCTGTAAAAACTGAATCATTTTCCCATACAATAACGCTTGAAGGTTTAGCCAGAGAGGATTACTATTATGATATTAAGCTACAGGCGATAAATTCCGCAGGGATAGGTCCTAATTCGACAGCACAATCTGCTAAATCTGGATTTAATTACGTGAATCTCTTGCCAATTATCCTTCCTTCCATCCTCGTGCCTGTATTGATATTAGCGTGTATAGTAATATCTGTAATAGTTGTGCTTATATTATTACCGTATTACAAGAATTGGAAAGAGACTGCTAGAAACCGGAAGCCATACCGTGAGACCGGTAGTGCTCGCAGACCCTTGGTTCCTAGTTCATCGTTACAGGTATCTAACTTCGATACAGAGAATAGAGGATTTGATGATATTATCCGGAAACAAAGTTCCTCGGCTAAAAAACGCGATTCACCCACTGGTAATGAATCATATCTCGCGGCAATTAATGAGATAAACCGCCAGATAATGGAATCTGTTGGGGAATCAGATCAGGAAGCCACGCCTACAGGTTCTGAATACTCTGATTCAGAAGGTTCAGGTTCAATGTCAGGTATAAACACAGAGGTTTTCACTTCAAACAAACCCACGGATTCTGACGGAGCACACGTTATATACAATTACGATTCTGTAATGCCTAAGGTAGGCGAAGAGAAAACTGGTACTACGAAACAAACCGATTTTGATGACGTAGTAGGTGATACAATTCGCGAGGCTCCTGTTTTACAAGCGGGAAATTACTCAGATGATGATGATGATGATGGTGATGATGATGATGATATACGTCTGGCGGATAGTCAGACGCCAGCTGATTTCTACCCGCATGAGAATTCTGATTTATCTGATGATGAGCGTGTGACGTATGGTGATTATCTTAAGAATGTATCAGCTGATCAGGATCAACCACATGCTGATAGTGAAGTTAGCCTCAGTCAATATTCACATATTTCATTCGAGTTTTCGCGAGCTAAGAAACAAATGGCTAATTTGAAGATGGAAGATAAGAATATTAAAGTCGAGAAAAAACGACTGGATCAGGAAAAGAAATTGAGAGAGAAAATTGCGTTTAAAGAGAGGAAAGCGCGTGAGTTGCGTGCGAAAAGTGAGAGAAAAGAACGCGAGAAAGAAGCGAAACAACGTCTGAAAGAACGACAACAAAGCTATATCCCTCCTTCATCATTAGATCCTGATTTGAAGTATAAAGATATGTCCGCTACCCGTGAGAATAAGAATAGAGATGTTCTATTCTAACCACAAATCACTTATCCATACTTTATAGATTCTATACGACCCCTGTAATTCGCAATTTATAGTATTTAACCAATTTCCATTTTAACTACATTATTTATAATTTTTGTATTTATTATTTTTATTATTATTTTATATTTCTTTATGCTTTTGAATTGGCCCTTTTGAAATTCAGTAGACCCTCGCTAATCCGAACAGGGAGGGCCTAAATCATATACAAACTTTGGAAAAATGTTCTAAATTTTCATAAACGCATTAATTGCCTCCAATTCTACTGCTGACAAATACATTGTACTATATTTCATTTTTCACAGCCTTTTCATCGGTTTTGAACTTTCGAAAAAATGTACTCATAGATCCTATAGTATTGCTTCAATGCATTTCGCTAATCCTAACGAACAGGTGCGGTCCCTTGAGCTTCGATATAACGTGAATTGACTGTAATTAGTTTCATAAATGCTTTCTGTTTTGATAATAATATTTCACTATTTTTGGATGAGTGATTAACTTATAAAATCACTGGTTGCTAGACTATTTACCCGCATCATGTTCATATTCCATTGTTTCATTATCTCATTAATTATCTACTGGCTATAAGTCATTAATCTTTATATTGAAAATCAACCACATCATAGTCTGGAGTCTTTGTGTGGAGTATTTAAGGATTTGAGTTTAGTTATACTATAAGGAGGCTTAGCTGGCTGCTACTTCAGAATGACCGAGTGGTTAAGGTGATTGCTTGCTAATCAATTGTAATTTTACGCGTGGGTTCGATCCCCACTTCTGTTCCTCTTTGCAGTCGGCGCTACCCTCCTTTTTAACTATGTAAATTGAATAAGTAGGGATATACAGAATATTCGGGGTTTTTATAAGATTGCAATCTATAAGAATCATCTTCTAGAAAACGGTTCTCATATACTCTTGCATAATTTATACCGGTTATAAGAACATATTTTGCTACTCCCAAGGTTGTCTTATAAGCGATATAACGACTGTATTAAATGGCTTTCTATCCTGTCGAAATGTCAGTATTATCTACTCGATCGCGAATAGCTTACATATTCTTGATCATTGTTGTTTAATACGCACGTATTATCGAATTTCGTATTTTACGATTTCAGCCATATTAATCAATCCTGTTTCACCTGTTAAACTGTTATTTTTGTAACAACTATTCGTCAAAAGATAGTTACGTATATATTTATTGAATTTTCGCATCAATACTACTTATGCTTATAATACAAAATTATAATCTCAAAAAATTACTATTTATTTTTCCATGTATTTTATTATCTGTTAATGATAGCTCCAATGATTTAGGTATAACTTATATTAACCTGACAGTAATTTGATTATGAATTTTTAGTTCGTCATCTCACAGATAATGTTAATCCTTATGGGATAGAAATCCCGATAAGTTCAATGTATTATTTGAATTATAATATATTTAATACAAAGAATAGTCTTTGATTGTAGCATTACTTAATTCAATATAAATAGTTTGAATAATATATAACCAAACTATATGAATGAAATTCTATTAATTGAATTAATAATTAATTCATTTCTCTCATTATCTATCGAATTATGGTTAAGATTAACTAGTTCGATAACTCTATAACTGAATAGGGATACATGTAAATATAAATGTATTTACATTTGGAAATATACATTATTTGAAAATTATTACTGTGATGTCTAACAAAATAACTCAAAGATTGATCTATTCGCGAATGGATGAATTACCATAAATTCTTATAATTCCTATAACCCCAATACTTTATACATTTACACAGTATAGGCTCTCATTGAAAAGAATACTGGATAGTTATAACTGGTATTTGACGGTCTGTGATAAGTGTATGTTCAATAGATGTGTGCCATATGCACTTGGCGTAAAGTTTGTTATTGTGTGCGGTCCCCCCACTTTTCGTTCCTGATTCCAAACGAAATTGTGGAATCTAATATAATAATTCATTCTTAATACAAGCTTTAATATGGCATTATTACACGTATGTGCGTGATTAAAGTCTGAAAACATGATATCTTGTGTATAACGTTTCGAATTGCCTCTCCCACTCTTTGAAAAATATACAAAATCTTTACGCCAATATGCATATAGATTTAGGGGTAATTTTTTTATTCGTATTAATGCGAGTCGATTTATTTTCTACCTTACCATGTTGATTATTTCCACACACATTAGATCTTACTACTATGAGTTATGAGACGAGTGATTTAGAAGAACTCCTAGAACAGAGAGGCCATGCCTTACAAGACGTTCAGAGAATTGTAGCTCAAACCTCAGCCTTATTAACCTTATCCACAAGTGATAAAGTAAGTATAGCAACTAGCACACAACCTCCTACATTAGATGAGTTTGTCAGTCAAGTAATTTCTATACTGAATCAACACAGGTCTGCATTACCTGAGGCTTTATCTGTTATCACAGACTTTGTGCCTACACCTCTTGCTACTGGTAATGGACGTGATGACAATACGGATACTGATAATCAGTTGGCAAAATCTGTATTCCAGGGCTTAGATTCTGAGATAATTGATATGCTGAGTAAGGTTGACTTAGAAGGAGCTAGAAATGATATCATATCAGCTCTGCATGGAGATGACTTGGCTACTTTCGCGGGTCTCGCTCTGAAGCATCCGATGCTTGTCACAGAGATGGACGGATTAGGTGGAACACTCCTGCACGTAGTTCTAGAGCTACAGAACCAAACCAAGAAATCACAGGCCGGCTCGAATTTACTCCCATTTATCAGAGTACTGCTACAGAATGGAGCTGATCCTAACGTATTATCCAGTGAGGGTACAGCTCCTATCCACCTAGCTGCTACCACGGGTCAGGTTAGTATTCTACGGGAGATGATACGCTACGGAGGTAAGATAGAACTGAAAGATAGAGTAGGACGCACCCCTCTCTACATATCTACACTACAAGGGAAGTTAGAGTGTGTACGGGCTTGTCTAGATGCCGGCGGGGACCCCATGATACCGAATAAATCCGGTTGTACTTGTGTGCATGCTGCAGTTCTACGTGATAGACTGAATGAACTGAGATGCTTGCTGGAATACGTACAAGCTAACTGGAACTCTAAACAGGTGTATCAGCTATTGAATGCTCAGGATAGAGATGGCAGAACAGCTGCTCACATGGCTGCTTCCTGCAACCTGACCAGTGTGGTAGAAGAGCTCTGCCGGTGTCAAGGCCTGCTGGATTTGAGTATTAGAGATCGCTGGCAACAAACTCCATGGGATACAGCTACACCCGAAACAAGACTACTACTCAATAGCATGGAAGCCAAGCGTGTTGTCGTGCATATAGCTACGTCAGCTGATTCACCAGCTAGTCCTCATCATGATCAAGATCCTAATCATGTCGAGAAACTATTCGCTGTAGGAGTGATTGAAGTACAGAATGAATTGACTTGGAAAGATTTCGATCTCTTAGTTGGACAGATTCTAGAAAAACATTGCTACGACCTAGCTTCCTCGTATAACATGTTGAAAGAGCGTGATATCACTGCACTACGTTATGTTAAACCGAGCGAAGCAGCTATTGCTAATTCTATTAATATAAAGACAAAGAAGGGAAGATTACAGTTGAATAGACGGAATAGTGCCCCGAATATCCGAGACGCTCAACTAGAGCAACAACAACAACTTAATATACCAATTCTAACTGAAAAATACTGGGATTTGAGTTTCAGTGCTGAATCGAAGAAGAGACAGGCGGCAGCACAGGAAATATTAGCTCATTATTTTACCTCAGAAGTGCAATTAGGTTTAGATCAGTCATCAATAGGGTCATACACACTTGGTAGATATTCATGGTCACCTGACAAATACCCTCAAATCTCTGTTACCAAAACTGTGTATCAAATACTTGAGAATGAACTCAGGAATTTGTATGTTGAAGGTACATCACTCGACTCGAAATCTCAATCACATTCTCTCACGCTAAACATGGTTGTTAGGCTCAAAGGCTCGGAAGAAGGAAAGCTAGATCAGCTGGCTTATGAGAGTCTCACGCCTATAACGAAGCTGGAAAGTTACATTGATCTAGTCCTTGATATAAAGAATGTAATAATCAGTGGAGCGCTTGGATGTGGTAAGACATTACTAGCTGAATACATGGCTGAATGTTTGAAGCAGCAGTTCATGTATAACGGAAAGAATGCCCAGGTATATACAGTATGTCTTCATCCTAGTTTTAAACGTGAAGATCTCCTGGAGCTGCTGATTGAAACTGGTTGTATATTACAGATGACTAGTGACTCAACTGCACAAGCTATTAGTAGGAATAAATCAGTGCAAGACATAACTCCAATTATTGTATTGGATAATCTGGATCAGGTGAATATAACGGAAGTTATTGGGGAGTTGTTGACATCTCTGGAGTTCAGGGGCTTGGCTTGCCCCCAGTGGAACTCAGGGTTCACAAATAGTTCCCAGGTTAAATTCCCTCCCGGGGAATATTTCCTACGCACAGATTCATACTTCATCGCTACACTCAGTAGATCAGGCTGGTCTGGCCTGAGTCAAATTGTCCGTGATTCTTTTTCACATATACAATGCTCTGTATTTGATGAACCTGTATCAGGATTGCTTAATAGGTTCCTAATGCGTAGTGTTATCTCACAGAATGGTGGTGTAGTAGTTAAAAATAATGACTTATTCTCTTCACTACAATGGATATCTGAAGTATGGTATTTGTACAATTGTTATTTACAGAAATACCAGCTGGCTGAGCTACAAATAGGACCGAGACACTTCTTTTCTTGCCCGACAGAAAGTGAAGATTGGGCTGCTATTTACCGTTGGTTAGCTACCTTATGGAATCATAAGATAGCTCCGTTCATTGAAGATCAGCTGTTGCTAAAAACCGCGATGTACTCATCTCCTAATGTCCCTTCATCTGATATGGTAATAGGTAGTCTCATTCAAAACGCTCTCGTATCTACATGCCCGTTAGCTATAGGACATTTCCATGAATTCTACAGTAGTCTTAAGACAGTTAAACCCCAGACTCTAGCACCAATCGATCCTGCTGAACTCGGTTCTACTGTTTCTCTATTCACACAAACATCATCTAGTAGTCAGAGTGGAGTTACGTACAATAGACCTGGAGGCGGCAGATTCTCATTATTGGAGCAGTCTTATCAATACAGAAGTAATACTCTACCTAAAAAGCTACATCCTAAGCCGCAGGGTACTACATCACCTGATCAAGCTCAAATATTACGATTGCAGCAAATACGATCACAATCTGTTTCATTACATGACCGTAGTAAAAAGAAAGAGGAGAAAAAACCGAAAAAATCTGGTCTATTCAGACGCAAACCGAGTAAAGATAATCGACCTGATTTAATCTCCGTCCCACAAATGATGAATCCTGAAATTGAGGATCCTGAAACATCACTCCCCACGTCAACTATCCGCCCACAATCCTACGATAAAGAAATTAGGATAAGGTCACACTCTACGGAGGAATTATCTCCCAGCAAATATCATCACGCTGGACCTAGTCAGGTCATGCAGTCAGAGATTTAATATTTTTCAGTCAAAGCAGCTCTCACATTTTAGTCTTCCAAATATTTTAATGGGATCACACACTGCACACTGTTTCGGTAGATATATTCTACCATTTAGGTCTTAATACTCAGCTCTTGTATATATCTCTATATATATTTGTGTACGATTTATAATTTTCATCCCACACACTTGTGTTAAGCTCAATTGTGTATTATTATTATTATTATTATTATTATT